CTTTTTACTCTGTTCCCTTGTTACCTTGTTACCCTGCTACCTTGTTACTCTGTTATCGTGTTACCTTGTTACTCTGTTCCCTTGTTACTCTGTTACTTTGTTACCCTGTTACCTTGTTACTCTGTTACCTTGTGACTTTGTTACCGTGTTACCTTGTTACTCTGTTTCCTTGTTACTCAGTTCCCTTGTTGCCTTCGTTTTACCTCATTATTCTGTTACCTTGTTGCTTCGTCACCTTGCTACTTTGTTACCTATTACCTCAAGGTATCTAGGAATGTGTGTAGACATAATACGTCGCATGCACACTTGTCGGAGTTAAAGTGCACTTGCCATTGAGATGCCTAGGACGCCGGGATCAGTCAGTACCAGATTGTGGTAATGTTTAACTTTCCCCGCGGCCTTGTTTGACGGTTTGTATGGTATGTCGTGGCAGTGGGTAAAGAACTGTAAAAGAAAAAAAATTGCGATGTCTATGTCCAGGAACGATCTTGTCAGCAGATTCTCTTCGCAATTTTTGCAAAGAAAATAATTCACCGAAAATTTTGTGAGACAATCATTTGCAAATATCGCAAGAGTAGCAATAATAACCAATAAAACAAAATTCTAGACTTAGAAAAAAATCGCAAAAGTAACAAGGATATTTCCTGTTACCTAAAAACACTGAAAAAGTAACAAATATCGCAAAAATAGCAAAATAACAAATTAAACAAAATTTTAGACTTGAAAAAAAAAAAATGGCAAAGAAGGGCCTTTAAAAGCCCTCAAATCTCGCAAAAATCGCAAAAGTAACAAGGATTTTTCTTGCTATGTGAACAGATTGAGTACTTTCATGTAAAGTCAGACTGGGAGCCACCAGTTCAAACATCATTCGCACTAGAAACATACCCAGAAGAGGTTAAATTACAACTTGCTAATATGCTAATATAAATACAATCACGCCAAGAAACAATCTACCCAAGAGGGAACAACTTGCCATCAAACAACTAAAACAAAACCCGGACATCAACATTAAACGAACAGATGAAGGCTCTTCTATTGTTGTTCTCAACAAAGAAGACAAAATAATAGAAGGTCAAATACAATTAGATGACAGAGAAAAGTACAAACCCTTAGAAACACCAATGGTAATAGAAACCTCTAGAAGGGTCATGAAATTGATACAAGGAGAAACATATAGACGAGATGACAAGACGATGGCTATCCCTCACGCCAAATCCACCGCGAATACCACAATACTACACTCTCACAAAGATTCACAAACCAACATGCACCAGTTGAAAGACCGATCATATCGGGCTGCGAAGGCCCAAAGGAAACAGCCAATTGCTAAATCACAAAAATCGTGTCTTAAAGATACGACAGACTTTATCAACTTCATAGAGAAAACCAGGGTCGTAGAAAATGCCATTCTAGTCTCTATGGATGTAACTAGCCTATACACAAACATCCCACAGGAGGAAGGAATTACCATTATATGCAAAGCATACGAAACATTCTATCAAAACAAACCTTCAATACCGAGCCAATACCTCGCAGATATGCTCAGACTAATCCTAGCTAAGGTCTGTTTCTTCGTGGCTGGTCGACCGAAAAAAAAAAAAGAAATTCATGACAAAAATTGTAGCTTCTTTAGGTGCTAAATTTCCATGACTGAACTTCGGGCCCGCACGCTAGAATTTAATGTCAGATTCAAGATACGAGTTCTGACGGTCCTGTTGCTTTGTTTGTTTTAGACTACGAATACTCCATTTTTCGATAAAATAAATTAATTTTGCTATTCTATTTGCAGTACGAAAACTCTTCTTTCGCTTTAGTGACAGGGTCATCGGAGTAAAAACAAAACCTTTGGAACGCCAGATTTTATTCCAGATTATGCTTTCGCCAACTGAGGGTGAAGCGAGGTGAACCTGTTCCCAAAAGGAAAAGATACGTCTTTTTTTCTTTGAATGGAGAGTTTAAGTAGTCGGCTATTCAAAAAATTGCAATTCTTATACAAAGATGCTGCAATAGCGTTGTTTTCGCCTTAATACATAATTTTTCCTGTGATGGCGGCTGGGAGAAATAACTTGTTGCCATGGTTGTGTAGTGGAAGTTTTGCTTAAAAAGCCTAAAAGCGCAGCTCTCTTGTTGCGTTCGACGTTAGGAGAACGCTTCGTAATCTTTGGGGATCCTGTGGTCGATGGGATACCTGTGCATGCCAGGCGTGAAGATTCGAGATTTTTGGTTACTTGGACGGGCGATGTTCAAAATCTGCGCCATCTTGAATAATTTAGCTCGCGTTATTTACGTCATAAGCAATTGTCATACGGCAATCACGTGCATCACTGGTCCCATCAAGGTCAACAAGATGATTACACGGGAAGTATTTGAGTTCGGCAAAACAATGAACTTTGGAGTTGTTTTCTAAGCGGTTTTTATCACTGAGCTGATGATTCTGCTACACTTTTCGGTCAATGCCGTTCAAATCGAGCTGGAACTTCGTAGAAACACACAAATAAAGACCAGGTAACATTTGTGCCGTGAGAAGTTTACCCGTGCGTTTGAGTCTTCTTACATATTTGTAGTTTAACCTCTTTCATGCACGAAAAAGTAAGCTTGAGCGTATCAGTGCAGGTTGTTACAATTGTAATGCTTTGTTCACGTCTGATATCTCTACGCAGGCAATTTTGCATGATAAGTATCTCGCTCGCTGAAGCAAGCTAAGTTTAAAACATATTGAACTGATCTACATGAACTTAAAGTAATCGTGAGATGAAAAGTTTGAAAATGGCAAAAGAGTCTGTCCGGTTCTCTGACATCAGTAATCTAGCAAAAACCTAATATGTTTCCGTCGCTCCTATGATCATTGTTTTCACTTCAAGTTGTGTCACGCAAGAAGCCAGGACTTTTAACCTTCGAGGCTACCATTTTTTTGAAGTTTGTAGCGACATGTTTATCTTTTTAACAACAAAGAACTTTTTACGATCTACTTTACATTTTTTTCGACCATGCTTGAGGGAGAGTAAGACATGTTAGGAGTAAAGAGTTAATGAGTGAGATATTTTGAAGCCGTATACGCGACGAACATTTTTTACGAAAAGAAAATTTACCTTTTAATTCATGATCTCTTCCATGATTTTGAAATAATGCTTGACGACACAAAAGCTAATCTGGAGCTAAGAAAACTCGAACGCACTCATTGATCTATGATTACTACTAGTTTAATAAGCACAATTTATTTGATTATTAAGCGAAAAAGGCGCGGGTTATTGCTTATCAAGCAAGAAATTCCATGTTTCTTGTTTAATAAACAAAGTTTACAGGACAAACTGGTTTAATAAACAAAAAAAAACATACTTTTTTGTATAAGCCCATTCCCGAAACATTCTGACAGTCCGGAAACAATCTGACTCCTGTTTAAGGAAAGTCTGCGAATGGCTTAATACAAACAAATTATCACTCAACACGAGCAAATCTAATTTTGTCATTTTTCATCCCTTTCAACGCAAGCCTGATTACAACGTAACCTTAAAAATGTATGACAATGACTTAAAGATATTGACTTCTCTTGAACGAAAACATCATGTGGAATACCTCTGTGTGTTGATTGATAGGCACCTCTCTTGGAGGTACCTAGTCTGCTACACAGCCGTTTTTAGTGTCGTCACGCAACGCTCCTCCCCACTAACGGCTGCTGAAAACCGAACCACATTGTTTAAGAGCAATGACTGGAACAAAAAGCCAAGGAAATGAAACGTGTGTAACAGGAGGCAGAAAACTATACAGTACAAGAGCCAACACCGGAAGAAAGACAGACTGTTCAAAATCAAATATGTCACGCTACTTTGTTACTGTTTTTTTTTTTAGTACTGTAATAAAATTTTCTTCTTACAATGTCTACAATTATCACATAATTGTGATAATGAAAATAGACAGTATGCAGATAACCAGTGTCCGTAAAGAGGGGTTGACAATATATGAAAGTTTGTGACTCGGGACACAGAAAAGTGTCCGTTGTCCGTATTAACCGGTGTCCGTATGAAGCGGGTTAATTTTAGAGAAAATATATGAGCTTTTTGTCGGGACAAACGAAACTGTCCGTATTGAGCGGGTGTCCGTAGAGCGGGGGTTCCACTGTAATTTAAAATCTCCAGAGACCTAGACTCAATCAGCTATTATTATCTTTTTCTAGAAGTGGTGTAAGAATTTGGAACAAAATTCCTCTTACGTTACGTGAACAGCGCAAAGACATCTTTCAAGCGTAAATTACATAAATTACTGATCAAGGTTTTGGAGACTAAGAAGGTGTATATTGATATAAGTACCATTACCAGTTCCTACCTGAACTCCTTATTCAGTTAAAGTGTTTTCCTTCCTTATATTTATAGTGCTACTTTTTATTTGTTTATTTATTTATTTCGTTTTATTTTTGCTTTCTCTTTGCTTACGTTCTTTGCCGACTTTATAAAACACAATTATTGTATTGTTGCCCACTTAGAATAGCTCCGCTAATTGTGGGCATAGACTTAAATTATTTGACAATTCTAATCAAGTTGGACAGGGATGGTCTTGAACCGCCATGTTCGCTAGGCCTCCCTTTCGATGATTTTATTATATTCGGTTCTATTATTTCTTACTACTATCCTCTTCAAGAGAGTTGTTTTTATAGTTTTGCTCTAATATCTGGAGATTATCTGTTAATGCTTATGAAAGTGCCTGTTTTAATTATTTCAGAATGTTTCAGCAGATTGAAACCACTGGATACAGCTCACTGGAAAAAACGTCTTGAAAATGTTGTAACTACAGCTATCGACTGTGAAGCTAAGCATAAGGAATGTGTGCGCGTGTTACCATACTCAGACGATGATCACACAAAGGTTCAGTTTTATGTGTTTAGTAGTAAGTCTGGTGTACCACAAAAATTAAAAGATGCTGCTCAAGAATGCTTTAGAGGGATAAAAGTGAAACTGGAATGGTTTGATCTGTACAATGATGCTACCGAAATATTGAAGGTGACACCTATGGAGTTTCCATCAGGAAAGCCGGAAAGATTTAACGAAATAAACAAAAACCTTCATGTCCTTGTCAAGCATCGCAACGTTACCGCCGTTCAAGCCTCTTTCAAAATTATAAATTCAAAGCAGACAAAGCAGCCTTGTATTGCAATTTATGTTCTTGGTAAAGGTTCCATCCCTGTCGGTGAGATTGAGTTGCCACGCACGCTTGGTGGTTACGATGTCGATGTTGTGGATGGATTTTGGTTTAGAACGGATGAGAATGATCCCTGGAGATCAAAAGAGGGACAGGAGCAGTGCGAGGTCCTTTGCCTAGGAGCAAGCATTGGTATACAAGGAGAAGAAGGGTGCGGAACCTTAGGCGCCATTGTGGAAGGCGATGGAAATTTTTATGCCCTTTCCTGTGATCACGTAATGAAACACCCTCAAAAATTAGAGATAATTCACCCTGCTGCGGATGACTATCTGAACTATTTAAACTACCACTTAAAGCAATGTGGGAAGCAGATACAGTACATTATTAAACGTGAGCAGTGCTTTATCCTAGACTCCCAGTTTTCATTTGGCATTTTTAAAGAGTTAAAAATGTTAGAGACAAAATTTCAACAATTAAAATCTATCAAGGAAGACCACTACGACCAAGATTGAGCAAAAAGGGAAAGCTAGAGAAAGTAGAGATTCATGAAAAAGCTTTGGAGAAAGGTTTTAAGACACCACCCAGAGTGATAGGCAGGTATATTGCTGGTATCTTCCGTAATGTGAGGTGGACCGATGACCAGGAGTATTTTATCGATGCTGCCATTGCTCAGTTGACGCCAGAAGAAGTAGAAGGTTTAAGAGAAAGTGGGACAGTTGAAATGATTGGCACAGAAAACTCCCCAAATGGTAGATGCAGTTCAGCGTTTACAGCCTCTGGGGAGCTGTGTAAAAGTGGCCGAACTACTGAATACACCAACTCAGGCCGTCATGCAAAACCGGACATGTATCTCAGGCGTACTTCTTACAGGTTAAATGCTCAAACTGATACACATTTAATCGATGTAGTGAAACGCGTTTCCCTGTGTCACACATGTGCGAATTTTGCTGGAGTACAAGAAGACCTAGAGCCCACTTTTTCCCCTTGCGGTCACTGTAGAGTGGACATAGAGACTCTTAATGACGAACTTTGGTGGAAGAACTGCTTATGCGTAGACCGTCCATACGACCTAGCGAAAGGAGAAGTATTTTTAGCTGAAGGAGATTCTGGGGCAGTAATTTTCGAAATAAAAGAAGATAAAAGTCTTCTCGGCTTTGGCATCATTTTTGCCCAACAAGTTCATTCATATGGACCTTGCGCCCTGGCCTCGCCGTTGAGACTTGCTCTTGAAATGCTTTCCAGAGAACTCTCCGAGAACGCAAGTTTAAGACTGTTTTCAAACTATAATGATTAGAGGTGGTGGGAATCCCAAGGGTTCTATAAAGCTCAGCAAGTCCTTCAAATAACCCCTCTTTGGGCTCTAGCCTTGGAAGTCGCTGAAGTGGGTAGAACAGAGTCTTCCGGGGAAAAGGCAGCTACGATGGGTACTCCTGCAGCTTTATTGTTCCCAGACGATTAACAATAAATTTCCAAGGATGTCCATACTGGTGGGAAGATACCTTTGAACGTTCCTGAAGAAGGCAGTGTGTGATCCATCACCGTAAAGGAAAATTCATTAGCGGAAAGTAACTATATCGAGACTCCCGCTAAACATTCAAGTGACTCTGATACCTGGAAATTGCCTTGTGACAAGGAGTTCAATATCATGTCATGTTCTTAGGAGATGAACGTTGCATTATGTCCTTACGTCAAGTACTTGAAAGGCAGACGTCTAATGTAAGGGCCAACGTCATAAGATGATGTAAAGTGCCTTTTGTTGAAAGCCTATCGTATAGGGATCGTTAACGTAAACACAAACAATGGACACTTACTAAATTTCTGCATCCTTAAATGTGGACAACCGTTGGTATCTTGGCACGTATTAAAATGGATATCTCACTGGTGGGTACCGTCTGTGAGGGCACTTATGAGTGGTCGAATCGAGAGTTCACGAAACCACAACGGCACTAGTGAAGATGTCACTAATTAAGTTTTCTTTGGTCTTTCAAATTTAGTTGCAATGAACCAGGTTTCAAATTTCAAAAATGTTGGCGATTTTTTCTCAAATCTCAAATCTTTATTTTAACACGGTAAAAATTCATCAGGTTTTTGTTACATATAAGGTATAACTACATAACAATATTTAATAATAATAATAAATAAATATCTAAAGAGTCTCTTAAAAATACTACTCAAAATTACACTAAACTATACCTGTTTTCCATGAATGCCGTGTATCTAAGTTAATTAACTAAAATGAAAGTTTAACAATTGCTCAAAACGTTTAGAGATTTCTCTTGCCTAAGATTGCAGGGCAGACTGTTCTAAAGAGTTGCACCTCTATAGCTAAAGCTCCTTTTTAGGTATTTGGTTCTTGGTAAAGGGACATTTAATTTAATTTAATTTAATTTAATTTGTTCGTAGAGTCCCTTAAGACATAGCCGGACGTACTGCGCTCAGTAAACATAGAGGATAAACAGTCAGGGGCCAGATCATTTTAAAGAGCTTTGAACACCATTAAAGCTACTTGAATTTGACGCTGGGTGATCAGGTCTTTCTAACCAAGTTGTTGTAACAAGTAGCGAGCGTCAGCATCATAGGAGGAGGAAGTCAAAATGCGAGCAGCACGATTCTGCAGTTTTTGTAATCCTTCAGAGAGCGTTTTGCCACAATTACCCCAGACAATACTACAGTAATCGAAATGGGGTTGTACCAAGGCATTGTAGATGTAATGTAGTATTTCTGGCGAAACAAAAGGTCTAATTCGCTTTATGGCGCCAATGCCGGAGGCAATCTTTGTGGATAGTTTGTCGATATGACTATGCCATGCCATGTTATTAGCAATGAGAATCCCAAGTGATTTAGTAGTTGAAACTTGCTTTATAGGGATATTATCTATCGAAAGTTCAAGGGATTCAGATAATGTACTCAGGTTTGTCTAGAATCAATTAACATAAACGCGGTTATAGTTGAATTCAGAGTAAGTTTGTTGCAGAGAAGCCATTTGTGGGTGTTACTTAAATCACGATTCAGACTAGACTGCATTGAGTGTAAGTCTGCGCTAGCATATGTTATGTGGGTGTCGTCTGCATACATCCTAGGTTGGCAGAACGACAAACAGTTTGGCAAATCATTGTTATAGATCAAAAATAGAAGAGGACCAAGGAGAGTTCCTAGAGTTTAATTGCGAGAATCTCTGTTCAAGTTTAAAAAAGAAGGGAAACTTCTCATTTCATTATGTTTACTTCCTCCATAAAACGTCGCATTTGGGATTTTAACGTCGTTGTCGTACAGGACGGTTAAGAAATGAACCAAAAAGTGCGAGGTTCGTAGAGAGTTGTCGGTTTTTTCATTAAACCTCTTGCGATTGCTTTGTTGACGTTGTCGTTGCCATCGTCGTCGTCTTCGTTTTGTAGACTCCCGAACGCCACGGACACGTAGACTCTAAATAGGTTTACTAAAACAGCAGTGTAGAAAAAAGGCCCTTTAAAGTGGGATATTGCCAGGGTTTTTTTAATTTTCTGATCCGGTGAACTTTTCCGACATCTTATATTACTTTTCACAATGTTTTTGGTTGTTTTCGTGTCACTTATATCCTTTATTTGATGTTGTCATTTGTCGAGCAAATTAGCCTGAGAAACTCTTGTTTGCCTGTGACCCAGGTTTTTTCAAACTTTGAAAACTATCTTGCATTTCAGCGCTCATTTTGGGAAGGTAGAGATAAGAGAATCAAAGTATTTTAACGATAATTCAGAGGTTAAAACAGAAATCATTCACGTCATTAATTTTGATATTTGTAAGAAAAGGCTGCAAGAAAAAATAGTTTCCTAAAAATAGCCTATTATTTAAAAGGGTGGATTTTTTTCCCAAATGTTTGGCTTTTTCTCTGTAACAATTTAGTGAGGAAAGTAGCCTGCGTAGCAGGCGCTTGGAAGTAGTGGCACAAGAAAAAACGCGCGCGCGAGTAGGAGACACGCGAGGCGTCCGTTCTCTCTTTCGCCCACTACTTCCAAGCGCCTGCTACTCAGGCTATGAGGAAAGGATCGAAGTTGTTGTAATATATAATCCCTACGTTTTGTAACTAATGATAGGTAGCGGTCTTAGTAATAGCTTGTTAGCAAGAAAGTTTTAAAATATTTACTGCATTTTGTTGTGTTATGGACAACAATTGAAAGTTTTAGATGGCTTCTTTATAACAGACAGTACCACATGAAAATAAGTGATTTGTGAAGAGCTTGACAAGCATTTAAAGTGAACCGTATGATGTAATGTGCTCTTACTTTGTGAGACAAAGTAAGCTCAATAAATCAATTATGTTATCTTTACTTGCCAGATTTGAATACTGACTTCTGTATTTTCACTTCGATCATCTCAGACGACTTCCCATCTTATTTACGAGTTTTAATAATAGTAATAATAATAATAATAATATAAATTTTATTGATCAAATAAATCACACTGCTTTTCTACACCTCAACAATAACAAACTATCGTTAAGTAATTAAAACGATTAAGTAAAGTCTATTCGGATAACATATTCACAATTTTTTAAAAATCTTTAAAAAGGATTTCTTACTATGTGTAAAACATGTACAGTTGAAATACTTGTCATCAAAGGCGCAAGTTACCAAAACTCACAATAATATTCTCAACACTGTCAAGTACCAACATTAAGTGAACGGTATATAGAAAGCGTTAAAGGAAAAGAAAATTTAAAACGCGAAAAAAAAAATATGAGAAAAATTACATCACTTTATACTCGCTTTAAAATTGCTCAAATAAAAGTCATCTAATGTGTCTTTTTTGATTTTTGGACAGGATGTCCAGAAATCAAAAGATGCGAGGAGAGTAAGAGAACCTTGAAAAATCCGTTTGCATCGCGCTTGGCCGAGTTCAATACTACACTAAAACTTCTCAGGATTACAGATCAATGATATATTGTTCCTGTTAAGTTTCGATTTGGGCGAAATCTGGATTTTTTGGCGTTACTTTTATTGCCGTTGGCCGGGGGACCAAAAGATGGGACGCGCTTTGATGCCGATTGAAGGCTTATCTCTTCTGCTAGCTTCCATACAAGCTCAGATAATTGTGAAAGGAATACGCAGAAATGAAACAGCCACAATAAAGACTGTACGAAAGAAACCATTGAGACATTGATGTGACTGAGGAGATCTTGTGGAGGGGAGTATCGTGAAGCAGAATGTTTTGCAACGACGCGTTAGTAAACTTTTAAATGAATCTCCCTACGGCCGACAAAATCAAACAAACAGGCGCTACATGTTTAAAAAAACTAGTTCCATGAAATCATAATATAATTTTTGACTAACCTTTGCGATGATTCATAGCGTTGAGATTGCATTTTTATTTATGTCTTTCAAACGTTTGAGGCTAGAACGCGAGCAAATTAGGCAGATATTACTTTACTTAGAACAATTGACCTCTGACACGAGTTTCACATTAGAAAATCTGTTTTTAAAACGAGCCGGAGCGGAAAGAGATTTTCGGGTCGCGAGGCGGCCCTGCTAGCGATAAA